CATGATACACTTGACTTTAAAACATCTCCAGGTACACCATTTTTGCATGTTGGAAATATTCTCTGACAACTGTAATAAATCTCAGAACAGACAGACTAAACACATTAGAAAAATACCGTGCTAGACAGAGACACATTTCTACTGAAAAGGTAACAATGTTTCTAGACAATGTCTTCTCTTTAAATGAGAAAGTCAATATTCTAAGAATAATTTTTCTACAAATCGTCACTGTGACCTTCAACAAATCATTTAACCTTACAGAAAATTACGCAACTTCATAAACTGTAATATAAAATGCAATAAAAGACCATGTAATAGAGTAGAAACGATAATTTCATAAGCAGATCAAGATAGAGTTCTGCTTCAAAAGCATTTCAGAAGATAGCACAGCCGTTTTATTACACTAAAATTATTTCTCCTGCTTTGGAAATAAATATGATGCTTATTTTTTTCTTTTTCAATGTCTTGGTATTATTACAGTGAGGGGAAAAAAATCCCCCAAGAACACAGTCAGAAAAAAAGCATAGTTGTTTAAGATCCCTAAAAAGCTTGCCAAAACAGGAACACTGTAACCAAAGCAACAGCTGGCACTGAGCTAATGGAACAGAGATATATCTGCAGACTACTGTAAAGATTGTTCCAAGAAATAGCAAGCAATATTCAAGCATTTGCTAGGCTATAGGCAATAAGAAATGACCTTTGTGAGCATAATAAATACAGCATTAAGTCAAAAGTTTGAGAGGATTTTAAAGAGCTGGACATCACTGAAATTAGAAATACAAAGAGACAGAATTTGACTTAGTTGAAAATGAAATACAAAAATGAAATAAATGTACAAGACCAAGATTCCACTGTGATGATATATTAAAAGTGTGAGGCCTGGCCAGTACGGCTCAGTTGGTTGGAGCATGTCCCTGCAACAAAGGGTCATGGGTTTGATTCCCGGTTAGGCACAAACCCAGGTTGAGGGTTCAGTCCCTGGTTTGGAAGGATGTGGGAGGCAACTGATAGATGTTTCTCTTTCAAATCAATGTTTCTCTCTCTCCCTCTCTCTTCCTCTCTCTCTAAAATCAATAAAAAAAAAACCCAAAACATATCCTCAGGTGACGATTACAGAAATATGTTTGAAAGGATCGTATAATCCTTGTATCAAAAAGACTAAGAATCAAAAATTCAAAGAACAGCTCTCTCTCATTATTTAGACAATCTTTACTGCTGGGAAAAAAGCAAAAAGCTTTTTTTTTCCCCCTAGCATAGAAAGTATACAGATCTTTACCAAAAAGTAGGTAATTCTTTAAACCACTCTCTCAGTGGAATACATATTTAATAAAATTAGGCTGACTTTTGGGTAAATTTTAAGACTAAAAAGCTCAGCTCCTTAATGATGCACAATAATTGAGGAACTTTAAAATCCAAATATTTTATTTATCAAGAGTAGTATTAATAAACTCACAACACCTTATATATAACAGGAATATATTAGGACAAAATATTTAAGGCAATTTACAATACCTGTGTGCATATGTTGCAACATGATATATACATTACACCTTTCTTGGAGCTATAACATGCCTAAAACATTGAAAACCTAATGGAGGTGCATGGGAGATAACATGTAGTAAAGGAAGAAAGAATCACATTAAATAACATAATTTAAAATCAAGAATTATATTAGCTACCTTGGTTGTGATTCAGAGCTCATCAGTGGCTTTTCTGATTCAGTAACATACAGCTATTAATGCTTGATATGTACTTCTCGGCTAACCTAATATGATTATTTCAGAACCTGTTAACAATCAACAGTCAACAGTGTATAACCTAAATGAAATTAAGAGACTAAACAGGATATTTAAGAGCATAATATAATCTTATCAACCAGAAATCAACTTTATTCTAGCCCATTTTAAAGAGAAGCCACTCTACCAAGACTGGGAAATGTAAGCAACTCTACTTATTACATAGAAACAGAGAGGGAGTCAAAAAGAGAAGATAAAGAAACATACCCCAAATAAAAGAACAGGACAAAACTCCAGAAAAGGGAAAAAAAACTAAATAAAATGGAAAAAAATAAATCAATAAAATGGAGACAAGAACTCTGCCTGGTTATAATGGTGCTCATTGACTTAGGTGAAGAGTAGATGAACTTAGTGAGAACTTCAACAAAGAGATAGGAAACATAAAAAAAATGAGATAGAAAACATGAAAAAGAACCAGTCAGAAATGAAGAATACAATAACTAAAATGAAGAATACATTATAGAAAATCAATAGTAGGGTATTAAGCAGAAGATCAAATCAGTGATTTGGAAGATAAGGAAGCAGAAAATATCCACTCATAACAAAAAGAAAAAAGAACCCCACAAAATAAGGGAAGTATAGAGTCTCTGGGACAACTTCAAGCATACTAACATTCCCATCATTGGGATATCAGGAGAAGAGAGATAGCAAGAAGTTGAAAACCAATTTGAAAAAATAATGATGGAAAACATCCCTAACCTGGTGAAGGAAATAAACATACAAGTCTAGGAAGTGCAGAGTGTCCCAAACAAGCTGAATCCAAAGAGGCCCAGACCAAGACACATGATAATTTAAACACCAAAGGTTAAAGACAAAGAGAATCTTAAAAGCAGAAAGAAGCCCGGCCAGTGTGGCTCAGCAGCTAAGCGTCAACCCACGAACCAGGAAGTCACAGTTCAATTCCCAGTTGGGGCACATGCCCAGGTTGTGGGCTCAGTCCCCAGAAAGAAGCACGCAGGAGGCAGCCGACTGACGACTCTCTCTCATCATTGATGTTTCTATCTACCTCTCCCTCTCCTTTCCTCTCTCTGAAATCAATAAAAACATATTTAAACAAACAAAAAAATGCAGCAAGAAAATAACCATTATTTACCTATAAGGGAGCTCCCATGAGACTGTCAGCTGATTTCTTAACAAAAACTTTGCAGGCTAAAAGGGATTGGCATGAAATATTCAAAGTAATGAAAAGCAAGGACCTTCTTTTTTACTGCCAAGTAGTACTCCATTGTGTAAAAGTACCAAAGCTTTCTCTTTTCCACTCATCTACTAATAGACACCTGGACTGGTTCCAAATCTTGGCTATTGCAAATAATACTGCAAGGAACATAGTGGTGCATATATTATTTCAAATCAGTGACTTACAACAAATTAGTGCAAATGACAACATAAACCTGGAGAGCAGTGAAATAAGCCAGCCAGAGAAAGTACCATATGAGTTCACTGATATGTGGAATCTAATGAACAAAATGAACTAACAAGCAAAACAAGAGACAGACTCATAGAGAGAGAACAGCTGCGGGGGATGGAGGCTGGGGAGGGGGATTGAGCAAAAAATAAAATAAACTCATGGACACGGAAAATGGTGTGGTGATTACTGCAGGGTTGGGGGAACGGGGAGGCAGAGAAGGGTATGGGAGGATAAATGGTGATGGACAGAGGCTTGACTGGGGGTGATGAACACACAACACACTGTATAGATGGTATGTTGTAGAACTGTGCACCTAAAACCTGTATCATTTTGTTAACCAGTGTCACCTCCAATAAATTCAATAAAAAGGAAATAAAAGAAAAAGAAAAACAAGGACCTACAACCAAGATTACTATACCCAGTAAGGCTATGATTTAAAATCGAAACAAATAAAGAGCTTCCCAGACCAAAAAAAACTAAAGAAGTTCATCACTACCAAACCAGCATTACAAACAAGGAAGAATAAAATGGCAATAAATACATATCTATCAACAATTACTTTAAATGCAAATAAATTAAATGCTCTAATCAAATGATATACTGTGACTGAATAGACAACAAAACAAGACCCTTACATATGTTGTCTATAAGAGACTCACTTCAGATCGAAAGACACATACGAATTGAAAGTAAAGGAATGGAAAAAGGTATTTCATAGAAGTGGAAATAAACATAAAAAGCTGGGGTAGAAATACATATACCAAACAAAATAGACTTTAAAACAAAGGCTATAAACAAGAGACGACAAAGGACCCAGCAATTCCACTTCTGGGTATTTATCAGAAAAAACCCTCAACCATAAATCGAAAAGACTCATGCATCCACAATAGCCAACATATGGAAGCAACCCAAGTGTCCATCAATAGATGAATGGACAAAGAAAAAGTGATGAAATATGACTCAGTTATTTAAAAAAAAAACAGAGAGAGAAAGAAAGAAATCTTGCCATCTGCAACAACACGGATGGACCTAGAGGGCATTGTGTTAAGTGAAATAAGTCAGACAGAGAAAGACAATGCTATATGATTTCACTTATATGTGTAATCTAAAAATAATAAACAAACAGACCAGAAACATATTCATAGATTTTGACGGTTGCCAGTGGGAGAGGGGATAGGGGATGGGTGAAAAGGGTTAAAGGATTAAAAAGTACAAATTGGTAGTTATTCAATAGTCATGGAGATGTAAAGTACAGCACAGGGAAGACAGTCAAGTATGTATAGTTTCAGATGGGTACTAAATTTATTGGGGTGACCACTTTGTAAGTTATAGAAATGTCTAATCATTGGGTTGTACACCTGAAACTAATATAATATTGTATGTCAACTGTAATTTAAAAAATAAAAATTAAAATGCTCTCAGTGTCCTCATTTTTAACATAGAAATAATAATAACAGCAAACTCACTAGGCTGCTGAAAGGCTTAAATGAATAACAGGACCTGAACAAAGTATACTCAAGAGGTATTAACTATCCATTTACATATATATTATATAAAAATATATTTCATACTATATACATTATACCTTAGAAATCTTAGAGAGAATATGTTTTTAAAATTAAATAATTTATACTAAATAAATTTTCCCTGTACTTATTTTATGTCCTACTCTCTAATTCAAATTATAGTTCGTCAGTGGTAAAATGAAAATGTTTATTACTTTTGTAAAGTCAAAGTTAGATGTTCATCTGTATTATGTTATATATCTAACACTAAAAAGGCAATATTTTTATTACCTGAGTCTCCACACCCTGCTCCAGTAGGCGCTTAGCTTGATTTTCCACTTCAAGTCGAGCTCTTGCAATAAAAAGTAGATCATTTTCTATTACTTCAATTCCAGAAAGATCTATTCCTTGAGAAAGATAATCTATTTAAAAAAACACACACACATTTAAACATTTCAATATCAGATACATATCAAGATATCAAAGCACCATGTCTAACTTGTTCTAAATACTATAGATTTCTGTATGCCCACTATTCCATTTCAAAATCTGTATTCTAAAATCTCTGTATTTAAAAAATATGCAAACCTTTTCTACTCAATAAGTAACTTTATTATAGAGCAAAATGTTCCAAATAAAATAGAGTGGGTAAAGCAAGAGTAGAAATTATGATTATTATAAAGTCAAAGTAATGTGAACAGATTACACAAAAAAGTAGTGTAAAATTTCTTTTAATACAAATTGATAATCATAGAAATTTCTCATTTTGCAACACAGCTTTAAAAATTATAACAAAATATTTTAAATAAATGTCCAACATTTGGAGAATGATTAATAAATTATGAAAAAAAAACCTTAGTTACTTACACTGAAAAACTTTCATGATATTACTGAGTGAAAACAATTACACAGAGGAATTAACTCTATATAATTATATAAAGTTTATAAAATTAAAACTTTAGAATTATATATACAGATCAAGAAGTCTGAAAATATATATACCAAAATGTTCATAAAATTGTCTTTGCATATTTAATGAGTTTGAAAAATTTATTATCATTATTATCATTTTGGCTTAATCTTAGTCATATCTAAGGTAACTAAAATGCTACAAATAAAGGTCAAGGTTTCATTAAGCATCTTAGAAACCATCCTAAAACTCGTATTTTCTATTTTATTAAGATAAATTATTTCTAACAAAAAAAATTGATTTGGATAGATAACTTAGTTTTCCAATTACTGAACAGAATATCAAGTGTGTTTTTCACTGCATTATCCTAATTAGAATTTTTAAACTTTAAGTCTTATTAAAATATTCCTAACACTTACCACATTATCCTATCTTATTTAAACTGAATCACAACTACTACCTAGGTGAAACTACATTAAAACATCCAGTATAATGCTAACCACTTAGCAGCACTCAAATATCTGTTGATTGAACACTATATAGTTAGTTCTACCCAAAAGGACAAAAGGAAATGATGTAAAGGGCAGTTGAATAGTGGTTATTGCTAACTGTACTTCAAACATGACCATTTTTTAAAAATGTGTATATCTAAAGGGACATTTGCCTTACCACAGTGGAAAGAGTACTGAAAATACCTCCAAATCATTTGGTCTTAGAGCCTACCTCATAATTTATTCACTAGATGATCACAGTTAAGTGATACTGTCTCATTAGGCTTCATTTTTTTAATCTATAAAATGCCAGCAATTTAAAAGTCATGCTCTATGTAGGCACTAAACGGGCTGGTCCCCCACACACATATAGTGGTTAAGAACTGGGAGGGATATCTCAGCTGTGGTGGTTCCCACTGATGAACGAGTGGTCCAAGCCCCACACCAGGTTACCCAGAACCGAGCACCAGTACCAGAAAGAGAAGTCCCCACAACATTGGGCTCAGAAAAATCAGTGGGGCTCTGCCCAGGTGAGATGGAGGGCTGCTGTGCACCCAGATATATTCTTAAAGAACTCAAGTATAGACTCACCCAGTCACAAACATTTGCCCTAAGCTCCAGAGAGGCTACAGCAGCTTGAAAAGTGCTAGGGATATACAGGGAGGAACTGAATTGTCTGTTTTCAAGGCAAGGGCTGAAGGGGCAGGTGCCATTGGTCCTTTATTGAGCCCTCCCCCAAGACAGCCTTCAGGCATATGTTGTTGCCATATCTGAGTTCCCCTTAACCTGTCTAACACTTCTCTCCCCACCATGGTGATTCTTTGAGACTTTGCCCTGCCCAATCCACAAGGCAGGCACAAATCTCCTTTAGAGGCTAAAGCATACAAGCAGCGGGCGAGTCTGGGCCCCTGCTTCGAACTTCCCTAACGTCTCTGATAGGTCCATAAAACCCAAACAATCAGTGCATGGATTCAGCATACCCTGTTCCTTTTGCTAAGTGACCCCACCTCTGGCACTAGTCACAGCCAGCCTCAGTTCACAGCACAAACACTCCCAGTATAGGCAACTACAAACTACAGATCACTTCTAGCTCCTACCAGGTGGCCCCAGGTTGACCTTGCCTACACCACAGCATCTGCCAAGAGGCCCCAGAAACAACACACCTAGTGGCAGGCTTCAGACCACGCCAGAGCATCACCAAATTAGCACCACAAACAATACACACACAGAGTGGACTTGGTAGGCACCAGAGCTCTGCTAAAGCAAATCCTGCTCCGTGGGTCAGCCCCCACACAACAGCCAATCTCTATGGCCAGTCAGCCTAAGGGTCAAGTCAACACACCGACAAGACAACAGCAACCAAGGCTCAACTAGAACAGCAAAGTGAGGAGAAAAAACACATCCCAAATGAAGAAACAGGATAAAATTCCAGATAAAGAACTAAATGCAATGGACACAATCTACCAGAGGCAGAGTTCAGAACACTGGTTATTATGATGCTCAATGAACTCAGTAGAAGAATAAATGATCTCAGGAAGAGCTTCAAAAAAGAGATAGGAAATATAAAACAGGAAATAGGAAACATAATAAAAAAGAACCAGTCAGAAATGAAGAATACAATAATTGAAATGAAGAATACATTAGATAGAATGAAGAGCAGATTAGACAAAGAAAAGGATCAAATCACTGATTTGGAAGACAAGGTAGCAGAAAACACTCAATCAGAAAAGCAAAACGAAGAAATAATTTAAAATAACAAGGATAGGAAACAAGATGGCAGCGTAGGAAGCAGCTGTACCCACCATCTCTCGCAACCACATCAAAATTACAACTAAAATATAGAACAACCATCACTCAACCACCTAAAATCTAGCTGAACAGAAGCCCTACAACCAGGAAACTAAAGAAGTGCCAAGACCAGTAGGAGGGGCAGAGACATGGGCGGATTGGGGCTGAATCCTGAAGACACGCCCTGGGGCCCACACCCAGTGCCATGGTTTAAATCCGGAAGGAATATCTCAGCTGTGGAGGTTTCCCGGAGGAGTGAGGGATCCCAGCCCCACATAAAGCCCCCAGCCCAGGGCTCCAGGACCAGGAAGAGAAATCCCCACAACTTCAGGGTGTGAAAATCAGTGGGGACTGTCGCTGAGGGACACGAAGGCTGGAGTCCAAGGCAGCTCCTCTTAAAGGGCCCAAGCACAGATTCACTCAGACGAGTTCCCTCTAAGCCCCAGCGCCAGGCAGCAGCTTGAAAGGAACCTGGGACACTTGGGGAGGAACTAACCTGCCTGAAATTGGGGCAAGAGGTGGAAGGACAGCTTTCTACCAGGCAGAAGAGATGGCAGAGAACATTGCTCCTTTGGCGAGTCCTCCCATACACAGCCATCAGGCAGGTGCCATAACTGAATCTCCAGCAACTGACTCACACCTTTGGCCCTGCCCTGATGATTCCTGAAGGCCCCGCCCCTCTCTACTTGCAAGCTCACCCAAGACATTTCCAGTGGCTTTTCTGTGCAAGTGGCCTCTTGAGACTCATGCTTAGGACTTTCCTAAAATCTCTCAAGCAGCAGCATGCATCATACGGCTTGATAAGTGGCCCCAGGGCTGGCACTAGTGGCAGCCTGCATTGGTTCATACCTTGGCCTCTCCTGGACAACACCAAGACCAAAACAAGTAGCAGCCAAATAACGGTTTGCTGAAGAGCTCATGCTGGGTGGCTTTAGGCAAGGCACTGGCAGAGGCTGACTTTGCACCTCCCGGGAGGACCCAGACACAGTGCACCTGGTGGTCAGACTCGACCACACTGGATTACAACCCTACCACATCCACAAGTGACACACTCAAGGGGCGCACTCTGTGAATACCAAAGCTCCACTGAAGTAAATCCTGCTCCATAGGGGTGTCTCCAACACAGCAGCTCTTTGGCTGTAGTTGCAGCTGGTCCTCACAGCCAGTTGGCTTGGGAGTCAATTCCTCCCAGTGACACCAACAGCAACCAAGACTCAACTACAACAGGACAGTGCACACAGCCCACACAAGGGAGCACCTAGAAGGCCCAGCTCAGGTGACTGGGGAGGCTGAGCCACTGGACCCTACAGGACACCTACTACACAAAGCCACTCTACAAATTCCAGGAGACATAGCAGCTCTACCTAATACATAGANACTGGAATCAGCCAAAATATGGAGGCAAAGAAACATGTCACAAAGGAAAGAACAGAAGAAATCTCTAGAAGAGGAACGAAATGAAATAGATCCAAGCAAGCAAACAGATATAGAGTTCAGAATTATGGTTATAAGAATGTTCAACCATATTAGTTATGAGTATTATGAAAACAACTGAGAAAATCGATAACATAATAAAATACCAATTAGAAATGAAGGCTACATGAACTGAAAGAAAGAATAATTTACCGGGAATCAACAGTAGAGTAGAGGATGCTGAGAATCAAATCAGCAATTTGGAATATGAGGAAACAAAAAACACCCAACCAGAAGAGCAAAACAAAAAAAGAATCTAGAAATATGAAGATAGTATAAGGAGCCTCTGGGACAACTTCAAGAGGCCCAACATTGGTATTTATTGGGCTGCCAGAAGGAGAAGAACGAGAGCAAGAAATTGAAAATCTATTTGAAAAATAATTACAGAAAACTTCCCCTACTTGGGGAAAGAAATAGATTTATAAGTCCAGGAAACACAGAGAGTCCCAAACAAAAGGAACCCAAAGAGGCCCACAGCAAGACACATCATAATTAAAATGCCAAAGGTTAAAGACAAAGAGAGAGTCTTAAAAGCAGCAAAAGAAAAGCAACTGGTTACCTACAAGGGAGCACCCATATGACTGTCAGCTGATTTCTCAACAGAAACATTGCAGGCCAGAAGGGAGTGGCAAGAAATATTCAAAGTGATGAAAAACANCAACAGAAACTTTGCAGGCCAGAAGGGAGTGGCAAGAAGTATTCGAAGTGATGAAAAACATGGAACTACAACCAAGATTGCTCTACCCAGCAAAGCTAACAT